TAAATAGCTTTGTTCCTATTAAGCTTGGAAAAGCTTAGTGTCCAAATATAAAAGCATATTAAAATAAATACCACCATTCATTAATGAAAGTGTTGATTACATACCCTAGATGCTTACAATTTACATTAAGGGACTTATGTTTTAACTATTTATCCATCTCTGTCACTCAAGGCCAGAGAGCCACTTGTATGCAGATTTGGCAGCTTCTTACTAATCCTCATGCTCCTTAACCCTTGTGTAATATTTTATATTGTTGAATGCACCATCCTCCTTGACTCTTCTTTTTTGACTTCCAGTTAGAAATATATTAATTTCTTAATGAGCATGTTAATCTCTCTGACTTCTATTTGTCTCTTTTGTGATTTCCTTTGACTACCAATGAAGTTCATTAGAGGCTCCAAGGTTTTTTTTTCCTTCCCAAACACCAAGTGGCACCAGGATGTCCAAAGTTTTTATTGGAAGCATGTTAACATACGCTTCCTCTCCCTGCGCACATAACAAATTCTAGACTATGAGAAGGAGAGTAGGTGTTTAGCATAAGCCACATTGTTTGTACAAGCAGTTAGGGAGCCACTCAGTGAGGGAATGGTGGGAAACTTTCCAAAATCTAAGTTCCCAGATACCAGCCAAAGGCCAACCTCAGAAGCACACCTTTCTATGGATAGCAGCAGCCCCCAGGCCTGCTTTGTTAACTCTTCTCTACAATCATAGGATCAGCCCCACCCAAACTGCATAGCCTAGGAGCGAAGCAGGTGTGATATCAGAGGAAATTTGGAGTATTGGGAAGCCAAATCGCAATTGTCCGCCCCAAGGCTCTTCAGCTCTCATAAACGGCTTTTTTACCCTATCACCTGGTAAACTATATTCGTAAGCCTTCTAAGTTTGTCACCTGTGTGAAAATGTTCTCAACACTGGTGGAACAATCTCTCACTTCTCACAGAACTTTGGATCTATTTTAAAGCAATCTGAGAAAGCTGATTTTTACATTGGAGAGAAATAGATGTGAAAAATACTACCCCAACATTTTAACTTTTTCCTTTAAGTCAACAAATAAAACAGCGAAATTGCAAAGGATAATCCAATTCCACTGAGAAATTCTGAAGTTGAGAAACCTCAAAGCTGACAGTTATGGGAAGTGATTTTCTGAAGAGCAGAACATTTTAGGTCAATGTGGACTAAGCTATTTATGAGGAGAGAGGAGAGAAAATAACCTATTTTAAAACCCATAAATAGGCAAACTAGAAAAATTACAAGTCTTAGCTAAAAATGAATCTAGATTAATATTATATTTATATGTAGTATATTGGCTGAAATTGCCCAGTTAGGTGATATGTAGACATCAGGCTTAACATAGCTTAAAAAAATAAAAAGACACCTGAGATGGTAAAATGCTGAGGCACTAAAATTGAAAATTTAACTCATATGAGATCTGTTTATAGCCTCTTCCAGAATTCGTCTTTTAAGAAGCTTGGTTATATAACTTGTGAGCCCGTAGCTGGCAAGAATTGAAAAATAGGCAAGTAGAAAGAACCATGTGTTATTGCAGGGAGCATTGGCTGGGGGAAGTTTTTGAAGGCAGCATGGAAGAAGTCATAAAATGAAACCAGAAAACAGACTAAAAAGTATCTCTGGTGTCATTGGAAGTGAGGGTGAAGAGCTCTACACATTTTAATCTCTGGAAGTTAAAAGAGTGTCAGTAAAGAGCAATGATTGGTTAAATCAGTTCTGTAAAGGGCCAGGTAATAAATATATTAGGCTTTGTGGGCCACATATGGTCTCTCTAGCATATTCTTTTTTTTTTTATTTTAAGAAACCTCTGTAAAATTGTGAAAGCCATTCTTAGTTTGCTAGCTGAACAAAAGCTGAGCATAGGTGTTGAGAGCCACTGGTTTAGAAAACAAAATTTTAAACTGTCATCTTTATTTGCTTGAAACAATTAACGAAAGTTTGAATGTCTTTCAGGAAAATGTTCATCAATAATGAATAGCAAGGGACAGAACCAGGGCCAAGAAACAGGAAGAAATACTTGAAAAATTTGCTTATTCACATTTTGCTTATTAATGGAGCTTTATTTTTGCTTTGAGACAGAGTCTTGCTCTGTCACCCGGGCTAGACTGCCGTGGTGTCAGCCTAGCTCTCAGCAACCTCAAACTCCTGGGCTCAAGCGATCCTCCTGTCTCAGCCTCCTGAATAGCTGGGACTCCAGGAGCCCACCACCACGCCCAGCTAATTTTTTCTGTATTTAGTAGAGACAGGGTCTCACTCTTGCTCAGGCTGGTCTTGAACTCCTGACCTCAAGCAATCCTTCTGCCTTGGCCTCCCAGAGTGCTAGGACTGTAGGCATGAGCCACCATGCCTGGCATTTTGCCATTCTTATTTAAATATGTACACATCAA